CCCTTCCCTTCCCTTCCCTTCCCTTCCCTTCCCTTCCCTTCCCTTCCCATAAATTCTGTTGGTTAGATATGTATCCTGCCCTTTCTCCAGGAACTCAATGCAGTGTGCATAGCACTCCCACCTCGATTTTTCCCCAGCAACCCATGCCATTTATCCTTTCAGAGCTTTCCAAACATTTGGAAATGTCAAACTGAGAAAATTCATTGGAGCGTTTCAACAAAGAGAAAGTAAAGGAGGAAGGGAGATGGGAGAAAGGTATAATGACAAAAAGCAAAATGGCACGCCCTACAGCGAAGGTAATTTGTAATGTAATTAAGTTGGTCCCAGACAGATTGAATTAGAGGTGGCTATATAATGCTTAGGCGGTATTCAGTCCAGCCTCTGCTCCTTTTTTCCTACTGAAGTAACATACTTCATACCCAAGCCTCAACTTCACACATGTTCAATAAAGTTGTCAAATTAGAGACTGCAGTGCTTCTACCCTTGCAGAAACGTGAAGTTTTACTGCACAGCAATGCTATGACTAATACGCAACAGAACGCTTAACAAAGGTAGAGAAAGAGACTTGATGAATCTTGCCACCCTTTGAACTTTGAATCTTTGCATTCGTTGGATGAATACTTCTGTAAGGCACCCCTTTCAGGCTACTTTGCCCCGTAGAATAGTTCTAATATCCAGTTGCTTCTTTGCCAGTGACACTCATGAGCACAAATCTCTTGCTGACTCTTCTACTCAGCAACTAGATACACGAGGCAACACCCCCAAAGTGTTGCAAAGCAGCTCAGTGAGGCCACTCACATGAGTAACCTCTGGCCAAATCAGAAAACTTTGCAACCCAACAGGGTTGTGAGTGTCTTTGATGTGCTTCCTCTGACATGCCTGGGAAAGAAAGCCTTCTGTGGACAAGGTTGTGGATGGCCCTATTCAATGGATGAATGATCTTCCAACTCTTTACCAAACCTCTGAGCAGAGGCAAGGAAGTTGTAGCCTTCAGTTGTTGTGAACTACTGTATGATACTACTCCTAGGTAACTTATGAGGAAGAATGCTGGAGGCTGAACATCAGACAAACAGTTATACCAAGCCTAGCCCTATATATTTTGAAACCAATGTTAACATTTAGTATCCAGTCCTTTGTTTAGCTGCTTCTGTTCCTGTAATCCCCATTCTGGGCCCTCAGAATTTTCAGGATGTTGTGCTTTAAAATATACATGGGACTATGATTTCTAAAATATGTTATATTAACTAATTTTCACTGAAGTGTATCCCCGTTTTGAGGATGTGGAGGAGCACCAATGTGGGGTGGCTGTTTTATAAATATAGCAATGTTTGCAAGGCCACAGGATTCTTGTTCCTGCCCATGTAGGCCTGTCTGATAAACATTGTCAAATAAGGTGGCCTTTCCCATTCCTCAAACGCCACTTCCAGACTACTTGCACGATCTCCTTTAGAAGATGCTTCATGCTTGCTTTCCACACAAGTGTTTAGTTTGGTTTCTTTGGAAGACACTAATCCTTGGCTTTCTTGCCCCAGAGATGTGTCTTGTTCAGCCATCACCCATTATCCTCAGCCAATGTGCCTGTAAGCTTTCATGATACCTCTTTTCTTCCTGAGCCTCCAGGCTGCTGAAATATTTTTCTGCTTTTATCCCATTTTTTTGTGATTAAAATGGGCTCTGACTTTTATTTCTTTTCTTTTTTTTTCGCTGTATGTAGCCTGTATAATTTTTCACTCAATTGGTAATTAACAAGAACATTCTTTCTGACACCAGCTGGGAGATGAATATCTGTTCATAAAGTTCTCTTCTTTAGGGGGAAAAAAAAAAACAACTCTGCTGAAATCATTTCTGTGAAAGTGAACTCTTGGTCTCTTGATTCCTGCTATTTTATGTTACCTCTTTTAGGAGATGAAAGACCAATGCCCTTTTTAGCCACTTAGCCCCAACTTACATGGAGGAAAAGTTTTAAATCAGAAAATATCCAACTCTCTGTACTCCCATCACCTTATTATATCCACTATTCCTTTGTGGAAAAGAAGAACAAAGAGTTTGCAAAACCCAGAAAAACCAGCCTCTGGTTTCCCTGTAAATCATCCAAAAAAGAGGTCAAGCTTACTTTTTTCCTTATTCCAGCTTCAAATTTCTCGAATAACATGGAAATTCTTTTTCCACCTAGCTCAGTGTGGGCAGAAATACCTGAGGGTATTTACCCAGCGCTTGCTTGCATCCAGTCTTGGGGATGAGGGTAGTTTCAACCACTAGTGTCTTGAGAAGGGATGACTCAGCTTCTGGGGACAAGCGGATTGGTTGTAATCTGATATGGAAAGTTTATTCAACCCAATTCTGGAAATTGGGCCAATCCAAATAGATTTTCCAAATCAATTAAAAAGGGGGGCTTTGGTGTTTCCATACCATCCACTTGAATTGGAGACCTTTAATTTATCAGCCAATTCCACTCAGGTCATTAATTCAAGTCATAGATGTGACCAAACTTTCTAATTAGAACTTCATACCATTCTAGGATTATGGCTAGAAATAGCTCCTGTTCGTAAGAAAACAGCAAATATCCAGGTGTTGGTGCTGTCATCATCACTGGTGCTGGATCTCCAAGCTTATAAATTACCAACAATGAAGTAGGATTGACAGAACAAGACCTTACTTACAAAGGGTGGTGGTGAGACCTTCTGGTTGGTCATAATGCACAATGGCAACACACATAGTGTTGAGGGCCACAACACAGAGGACTACCCAGTAGAAACTCTGGGCCTTCACCATGCGCCGAATGAAAAAGCGGAACATCTTCTCTTTCCGCCGGAAATAGGAGGAGCTCTCATTTTTGCCACTCTTTAGGCTGGCCCGAGCAAATGGAGACCCTGTGGTCATAGAAGAAAATAGTTTCATTTTTAGAGGGAAGGGGGCTTCAAGAGTCAAAAATATCCAGGCTGCCATTAATCACACAAGAGATTATATTCCACACTAGGAGAGGCCCAACTGCGTCCCACCACCACCAGCTCGCAAACCTGATTGTCCTTCTAAAAATATTAGACAAGCTGATGGGGCTTGAATCATTCAATCTTACCTTTAGGTAATTCTGGACTTCCTTCCTGGAGCTTCTCATGTATCATGCCACAAATAATTTTATTTTTGGCACCACAGTTATGCACCTGGAATCATATCAGAGCTTGCTCCCTTTTTAATGCTTCTGCCTTATCTAGCGGGGTAACCAAATCTATGGGGTTCTTTACCCATTCTCCCAAATTTGCTCTCCTCTGTCTTTATGGATTGGATGCATCTGGCTAAAAGACATCCAGAAACTATCTAATAAGGGGAAAGAAAGGGCTCTCCTCTTGTGATGGATGGCATGAGCGAGGAAGATACTGGAATGGAGGACCAAGCTTTTCAAGAGGGAGAGGGAACATTCCAGAGCAAGTGCTTTCTCAGTCCACAGCAGGAATGTGGGAAGACAAAGAGGATGAGGATAGTGCCTCTGTGGGGTCTCAAGGGGTATATCCACTAGTTGCTTTAGCATAGGTTTAGTCTGGCGAGATTCTGTCTATTAGGAGCAAGCTAATAAAGGAACTATATTGGACTGGACTGTCTCGTTGCTGTTCTTGGGCTGGGCCTCGCATCAATCTCGCCAGACTCAACCTACACTAAAGCAACTAGTGGATATACCCCGCGAGACTCTAGGGAGGGGCTGTCCTCATCCTCTTCATCTTCCCACGTTCTTGCTGTGGACTGAGAAAGTGCTTGCTCTGGAATATTCCCCCTCCCTCCTGATAAAATTGATCCTCCATTCCAGTATCTTCCTCGCTCATGCCATCCATCACACCTCCTTTCAGTAGAGCAGCATTGTCCACAATTGTCCATGAAAGATTTCACTTTTGCAGTTGCATAGATGATAATAAATAATACTACTAGTAGAAATAGTAGTAGTAGTAGTCACCACTGTGTCTAATGTAGCTGGTTTCTTTGCCTAGTATAAGCACATGTAGGAGTGCAGTCTTAATCTTTATGATCCTTCAGTGAATATCTTTTCTCCCACATTTGAACATCATTATATTTCCATCCTATCTTTTTTTTAATCAAGCAAATTCTATCACTTGCCACCACATGTTGCTTTGGAAAGTGATTATGAGGTTCTTGCAGAACCATTTAAGTGAATTAGAAAACAACTCACATCGCCTAACAGCTGGCAAGAGGTCCCTACTGGTCAATGCTTTTTTGGATCAGCGGGTAATTATACAGTAAATTTTCTACAAGCTGTCATAACCATGTCAAGAAATTATCTGTATTAAAATGCTATAAAGTCAACACCTTAAGTCATTAGAGCGCACTGTTTATGAGAAGTGGAACTGCATGCATGAGAAAAGTCTAAAACCAAGGACATCATCCAGATGAAGTGACTCTCTTCCAACAAGAAAGGTTAACTTCAATTTTACCCAAGACAAAGTATGAGTCACATTCCTAACCTCTATGGAGGTGAAGCTGAGACTGTGGACTCCCTTTTGTTCATGGGATTTCAGAGAAGCTGGGCAGTTATCCAACAAGGATGCTATTGTTGCAAAGACGCTCTACAGCGAGCAGCAGGTTGGGCTGAATTACTTTCCTTGAGTCTTTGTAAATCCTACAATTCTATCACATGCCTCCAGCCACCGTTCTGGGAATTGCTGCTAACAGACCTGGCAATGGCAAGCAGTTTGAATGGTTTAAAAGGGGGACAGACTGGTTCATGGAGGATCAAGCGCTCAAGAATCCTAAGCAGCATATCATAAATGCAGATTGTTGGGAAGGAACAGTGGAAGGGGTCTGTTGCCCTTCCATTCAGGGTTGCAAGCTTCCCAAATGCATTCAGTTGGCCGATGCGGGACAGAGAATACCAAAATAGATGAATATAGGGCCTGATCTAGCTGAATTCTTCTTAACATACTCCCCAAGTGGCATCCTACAACGAAACAAGGACAACCCCAGGGGTTGATTTGACAATGTGCTTTGCTCATTTATGACCCTGAATGTCACTGTGGAACAGATCCTACCTCTGGCTTCCAGAGACAATCTACCAGAGAAGGGGACTGTCTCTCATTCGAGTTCTGACTTACCCACAGAGCAAACATCTGTGAAGTGATCCTCTCCCTCTTCAGCATGGATTAGATCGTTTTTGCTTTTCTTTATTGTTGCTCTTTTCAGCACTAGACACAAAAGGGGGGAAGAAAAGTGGGGAAATACTCTATAAATGATGTAGCCATTAGCTGTCCCAATCTCAATTCTTAAGTATTTTGTGCCTCCACTTCTCAAGGACCAATAATTTAGCAAAGGAAGAGGGGTCCTTAAAAAAAAAAAATTCCTAACGTCATATATCAATGTTCCCACTCCAAATAAAATTAGATTAGATGTCAGCCTTAAGGCTGTGCACAGTATGATGATAACAAAGCTTGCTCGGTGACTTTGGGCAAGTCAGTCTCTCTCAGCCCAATGTACTTCCATGGTTTTTCTTTTCTTTTTTTTGAGGGGGACCAAAAGGGGAGAAGGGAGCATTGTATGCACTATTCTGAGCTCCTGAACCAAAATCAGAATATAAAGCTAAGAAATGAAATGAAATGAAATGAAATGAAATGAAATGAAATGAAATGAAATGAAATGAAATGAAATGAAATGAAATGCGGAGTCAAAAAGTGTGATCTCTCATTCTCTGGGTGGAAGGCTGGGCTTCTGAGCTGTCCATGGTGCTGAATTTGTCTTTTTCTAGTCTCGCTTCTAAATTCCGTTTCTATATCCTATATAGATACTATGTCTTCCTCAGTTCCCTACTTTGATTGGCAGCTCCACACCCCAGTGAGCTCTTTCTTTCTAGAACTGGAGACAACCTTCTCAACTTCTTCCCTCCTCAAATCTTCTTTCACGTCTGACTTGCCCACATGAGACTCTTGGATAGGAGACCGTCAGCATGATGGTGCAAGGAAGGAAAGCTCCTTGTTAGCTCAACGGTTGACCTGACTGTTGAGTATTAACATACTGTTTTCCAACCCACTGTCTAATTTTATGCAGCATGTTTAACCTGGTTACTGACTTATCCTATCTTCCGAGTTTTTGCAACACGCTGTACCATAAACAATCTGGGTGCACATAAAACATATGGTCTAAAAAACTTTAATTGAACTGGTTAAATGTGATGTGTGAATCCAGCTGTTGGGATGGCTTCTGCTTTCTGCTTTCAGAAACGGCTCTGCCTGACAATGCATGGAAAGAGAAAGATAGAAAAATGTACTACAGTAGAAAGAGACAGGAGGAGAAGGAAACATCAATAGTTGGTAAATTGGCAGAGGAGGGACCTCATCTATATCTGCAACCTTAATTCAGTGGCGCAATGCACAGTTTGTATGCAGAACGTTCCAGATTCAGTGGGGCTCAGGAGAACAGCTGCTTATGAGGATGGGCTAATCATCTTACACAGGATAGAATTCTGTTCCTATACACTCTGACCAGTGCGACATCTGGCAAACCAGAAGTGCACAGTACAGCAGAACACTCTTGATCTTGGTGGATGTGGACTTACGTAAAACCTGATGAATTAATGCATCTTACTCTGCGCCAGGGCATGACAGGGGAACACAGGTCTTTCATGAATATCTACCATTTCTTTAGAAACCTATCAAGAATCCCTCTTTTTAGGATCAAACTGCTCAGCAAGGAGCACAGTATATGTCCTATCTTTTGCATTAAAAGCTACAGAGCCAATAGGCAAGGAGAGAAATGCACAGCTAGAAGACTCACCATCCAAGGGGGACTTCTCTTCAGCATTCTTGTCTTCTTCTGCTAACATCACCTCCTCTGAAAACATAGAAAGAGCAGTGCCTAGCCTTGTATCACTGGGGACAGGACAGAGAACCCCAGTGCCTCTAACAGCTTTATCATCAACGATGGGAATACTTTAGAGAAAAGTCCTTGAACCAAGTTGGTTGGCAGATTTCAGATTTCTAGAACCTACTTGTTTTTTAACTGTAATTCTGAGTTTTACCAGATAGAACCTGGAGCAGGAAATACATACATACATACATACATACATACATGAATTGTATGTCCAAAGATTTGAAGTACTCAAGCTAAAAGGCACTTGGAATGCTTCCACACCTTTAACGATGGGGCCGTGTTCTTGTTTCCACAATTTGTTGGTTTCAAAATGTACAGGCTAATATCAATTCATCAAGAAGCTCAACATGGTCATAAAATAAAATCACCAAAGCATCCTGGGAGTGATGTAGTAAAAATGATAGTAAGATACAATGTGATTTTTAAAACTCTATCAGTAAAAAATGGCGCAACTTTAACCGTTATTAGGGAAGAGATTGGATAAAACATTCAGCACATCCTTCCTGATTTGACTAAGAAACTACTCAGGGGAAACGCCGCATTCATTCCACCTCTCTCTTGAAGTCATTAATGTTAGGTCGCTGTGTCTATCTCAACAGCAAAGCAGCACCTTTTAAAATAATAATAATAATAAGCTAACAAGAGGGAGCTGGTGTTGATTGTTCTAATTCTCTTTTCTCCATTTTTGCTTGACCGGTTAAGAAAAAGAAAAAGAAAGAAACCACTCATCGCTTCTGGAGAGGCCCCCCTGGTAATAGATGGGAATTATTTGGCAACAGCAAGACAAGGAAATAGCAAACACGTTGCCTGCTGCTTGCAATCAACTGGCTCCTGTTAAAAAATTAATAAGGATTTGACAGCAGAGACTGTCCTCAAGGCATGCAAATATTTCTGTACATAATGGGGATGGACCATAAATTAAATCTCAAGTCGTTTACATACCCAGTCTCATCTCTCCTTTACTCTTCGTATTTACTATATTGATAAGCATCCTTTTAATAAAATAAATAAACTGTTCAGATGCATGCAATATTATGCAAAGTTGGCAGAGGGGTGTGTGTTTATGAGTTACGTAGGGGAAGAGGCAAAATATGGGGGGAAATATCACCAGGCTGATCAGAAGGAAATCAACTGCAAGGAATACAGTGTGTGATACATGGGCTCACGCCCAACCAATGTAGAGTAGTAACAATGACCTGTCATTCTCAGGCTACTTGTCATGCAGGGGCTTCCCTCTGCCATCCATCAGTTCAAAAATTGCCAATTACAGGCCAACAACGATATTTCCTGGAATGATGGAACATCCTCCTCCTAATTTCAGAATATTGCTTTTGCAACCAGTTATTATTTTGCATAGTCATTGCCCAAGCTTTTGAATTCTCCAGAGCTCCAAGTACATGCCAAATTAATATAGGGTGGGAGGGGAAAAGATGGAACAGGCTCTCGCATCTCAAAAATCCACACACTGTTATACAAACTCAACCCTAATAGGATACATCTGCTGTAGTCTCTAAAATGCATTAGATCCAAGATGCTACTCAACTCCAAACTATTGGCAGTTGACTTATGTTCCCCACCCCACAAACTGGGAAACCGTTCCTGCTTTTTTATTGGCTCCTTCTCCTGACGGTCAGCAGAACATTTGTGAAGACCCACCCCTTTTTTCATGGGGAATCCAGGCTTGCCATACAGGCTGCTGTGCTAAGAACACCCCCATGGGGATGAGTTCATAGCTACATGGCACTTGCCTTCTTTCAGTAGAAGCAACCAGAATGCTTTCAAGCACTTGATCGGGCAAACCCAACCATATATGAAAAGGAAAAATGAAATAGAAGAAACGAAGTTACAAATCATGAATGGCTGGGTTATTGTACCTGCCCTGGAAATGGAACACAATTGGCCCAATGTTATGAATGGAACTAGAGAAGGAATGGCAGGAAATCACAGCCGAGTCACGTGCAAATCAGTTGCATCTCTGCCAAGTGCAAGTAGGTTCCTCTAAGCAGCGACCATCCAAAATGTCAACCAAGACATCCTCTTTTCAATAATCACTTACCTTGCGCAGCCTAACATTTGCAGTCTGCAGAAAGCATCTTAGGCAGAGATCCCAATGGGATCTAGCCTTTGCATCATCACAATGCCAGTTACGCCTTTTTTTTTATGTTTGTGAGATAACATGGAAAGGGTAAGATTTTCCACGGGGTCAGTACATTGCTACTTTCTTCATTTGTCCCTTCAAATGCCTCTGATTTTTTTCCTTTTCTGAATTTGAACAATATTCTTTCTGCATAGGCATCTTCCCTTGAGAGTGTTTTTATTTCCAGCCCAAGAAACGGGATTTTTTTCCGCCTTACCTGCCTTAAAGATCCATTCCAAATAGCCGTTGAGTTCTCTCTCAATCTGCTGCTGCCTCCGGAGTTTTAAAAAAGCTCGCCGGTTTTCAACTCTCTCTCGTTCTTTGGCAAACTCACTGCAGAGAAGAAACAAATAAAAGAGTGCAACCCTCATCCTAATTTAAGATTCCCAGTAATCATTCTGTCCTTGCAATGGGGATGTGCAGAATAACATTTAGCAGTTCTACCACTAGGAGCTGAGCCACATATTCAGACAAATCATATGAACAATCTGAAGATGCCACCTCCAAACTGAGAAAGTTGTGACCTCTTCCCTTTGGAAATCTATCTAGCATCCACTTGGAAGAGACATTGGAGGAAAAAGAAACACATGGGCCCGATTCTATAAGTGACTTTAACTGCATTTCAATTGGCATCGGTCCTTTTGTTAAAACTCCAAGTGTTTTGTAGGCCAAGTCAAGCTCAACATTTCCCAATTGTTAAGAAATAACCACCACTTGGACCATTATTTTTCTTGGCTTTGCAGAGCCAGCAGAAATAGCTACTCGGGATTGACCAATACATTTGCATTGTCTCATCCCAGGTAAACCCACCCACACGTCTGTCCTTGTGATTATGATTTTCTCGGCTGCTGTACATATGTATTCTTTGTATTGTCCTCAGCCCGATTTTCCATCTTCTTGGATTTTCCTTTTTTAGTACTGTTTTTAAATTT